ATCATGAAAGGGAATTTTGTGACTTTCAATATTTCAAACAGAATTTTTTCCAATAAAGCAAATAAATATAAAATCTACATTAAGCAGATTTAAATATATATATTAAAAACCAAAGCTATAATGAAATTTTAATGATTTCTGGAAATTTTAATGATTGAATGATCCAGAGATTTTTGAGGGAAAATTATGAGGACAGTTCTAAACATTATTTCAGGCCAGAAGCAAAAGCTAAAATAAAGTAAGAATGCATAGATGTATAAAGATTATAATCCAGATTATCTAATGAGACTTAATCTGGTATGATTATCTATGTTCTAAGAAATATTTTGAAAACAATTAAGTCATTTGCATCAGTAAGCATTTTATCAAATAATTAACCACAAATTGCATCAATAAAAAATGTTTTATCTCACGAACAACTTTTACTTCTTCAAATAAATTTATAATTAATATCCAAAAGTGATATCATAGTTTAAATTATAATTCTAATAAATATGAACAGCATAACGCAGCATAATATATATTCCCATTAAGTGAGAAGTTCATTAGTTCCCAAACTATATTAATTCATCCTTAAGAAACATTTTATGCAAATTCAGGAATCTGCACACATTCAATCTGAAAATTAACCCGAAATTATATAACCAAAAACATGTTATCGCTCTAATGGAGATAATTACGGAAGTTGGTTCTGTGATATAAATTGCTTATTTACATCACTAGATGATGGCTATCAAAATTTCCACCTTATGCCTGGGACACAGAATTTTTTTTAATATATATAACACGCGCTGCCCTGATAAGCACTTGACGATCTCAGCAATGGAGAAAAAGTGTTTACTCTTTTAGTCGCCAGTGCGGCGCAGAGTCATTAGCGACTCCCTAATGACTACGCCATGGCATCATTAAAAGAGCAGAATTCTCGGCTCGTCATCAGGGCTTGTCGAGGTAGTTAGGATATAGTGTGCTTTCCACTGCACCCGCTCTTGAAAAGTTGGCGATATGGCCAAGCGGTCGATAGGGCAGATTTTTATTACCAGAGATAAAACTTTAAAAATGAAATAAGTGGTGAGAGTGGAAGAAGGAAAAATATTTTTAGAGTGGTTTTCCACACCTGCACGGAATCTTTTCGTGGAAACTATTAACTAAGTGCGTGGAAGGGGATGTGCAAAGTATGCATGTAGATGTGGGTGGGATGCAGTTTTAATTTTATCTCGGAGGGTTTTTATTTTGGATGAGTCTTGAATTAGGGTTTTTTTTATTTAAAGGAAAATTTGCACAGAAAATTAGTGAAAATGGCATAATTATGCTTTAAATTGAAAAAAAAAAAAAGAAAAGTATATTTTTTCTTTATAATGCTTTATATACAAAATGGAAAATGGATGCAATTTACAGTAGATAATTTTTTTTATATTAAAGTTTTAATTATTAACCTATTCAGTGCTATAACTTGAATTTTAATACATTCGCTATTAATGACTAATATATACAAAGTTAATATTTTTGGAATAAATTTCATTATATAATTAGGTATAAATTCTTATAACTGAGTTTGAACAATATTTTTAATCATGTTTGAAAAAGAAATCCAATTGAATATTATAAATTTGTGCAGAAAGTAATATATTTTAAGAAAAATCTATGCGTTTTAATAATTTTTTTTTTAATTCACTGAGAGTGATTTAAAATAAAGTTTATTTATATGATAAATAAAATTATTTCATCAAGGAATTTAATTATAATTAGTATTACTAATATTCAACAAATTCAATGCTATATAATATAATTGTAAAATTAGTTAATCTATTTATTGGACTGGAATACGTATTCAATTTGAATAGAAATTTGAATTGTTAATTTTAAATGAAAATTTTCATTTTATTCTAAAAAAAAATGTTTAAAACAAATCATGCGTTACAGAAAATATGCTTGTTTGTATGTAACATCAAAAAATTAGTAAGTTGAGATATTTACTGAAAAAGAAAGAAATTTTCTGTATCATCAAAAACTTGAAGTTGACAGTTTTAAATAGAAATCTCTTCAGTAGAAAATTTTTTGATTGAGTTGCTAAATTTGAATATTAAATTTGGTAACGATTATTATTATAATTCGATGAATTTCATACAAGTAATTAAATTGTAAACTGCTTTAAAAGATAATTGTAATTATTTTTTATAAGTGTTAATAAGATTTCTTAAATATTACATGAACATAAAAGTATTCCTTTTTTATTTAGACGTACTTGAGCAAAATATATTTACACCACGGCACTATCGTATCCAATGGCACAAATAGCACTTTAAAAATCAAAAGTAAGAAATAGTGGAATAGGGCCTATTTGATTCCAGACAGAACCTGCAAATGGAATTGCACCTTCAAAATGAATGAAACTTCCCACTCTATTCCGAAAAATCTGTTTTTCCCTAGCTTCCGCGGTCGATTCAATCCCATGCAAAGCAGTCGCACCAATTGTCGGAAGTAAATCTTTACAGCACATTTTTCTTCTAAGATTATGTATTGCAACATAGAAGCTTTCAGTCCAAGTGTTGTTTCTTATTTCCAAGAAGCAGAAACTGAAATCTTATTACGAATGTTTCTCCATTTCGCGTTTTCTTATCGAAACAATGTAAAGGGTGTGTGAAGAAAGAGTGCTTTTTTTTTTTTTTATTTTGTGAGTGTGTGCATGTCACCAACCAGGAAAGGTTTCTTTTTTTTTTTTCGATACACATTTTCTCGGAATATTTCGGTTTTGTTTTCACTGAGCGGATTTATTCGACATCAAATGAAATTTTATTTATCACTAGTCGAATGGCAAGAAATTCGGAGTAAAGGACTGATTCGGAATGCCTTTTCACGCTTTTACAACGGAAAAAATGATGTAATCTGTCCTTTGTTACCCGTATGGCCTCTGCCTTACAGGGATTGATACGTAGAAAAAAGGGAATGACTTTCGTTTATGGTATTTTCTTCGGAAGGAAAAAAAAATATATTTTTCCCGCACCCACAAATATACAGTAAGAAAAAAATAAATAAAATCGCCAATTTTTTGTCTTTAAATGAAGCGTTATTTTCTTCTAACTTATTACTTTTTTGGAAGTAAAACTCAAAATAGATGACATTTATAACAATCCGGTGAAGAAATAAATGCAATGTTTATAAAGCATGCATAATAGTGTTCATAAACCTTGCATGGAATCTGGTTGTTTTTCATGTAGTTTATTTTTTGTACACTTTAAAAAAAGTAATAAAAACTGGAAGGATGTATTTTAAAAAAAAGGATAAGTAACTGAATATAATATAATAATAAAAAATAAAAATTAATATACATTCAGATATTGCTCAAATATTGTATTAAAATGTATTTATATTAAACTAGTTGTTCTCAAATTTATGACCATCCACTTTTTTCAAAAAAAAAAAAAAAAAAAAAAAAAAAAAATATACTCTTTTTTTTTTTCGGAAATGTACATCTTTCTTTAACGAAACTAATAGAAAGATGTAGTAAAAAAAGTACTGTTTTTTTTTTTCATATCTATGCATCTACTTACATCTTACAACATAGTAAATAAAGATGTTGTAATTAAACTTTAAAACTTGAATGTACAAAAATTATTAAAATCATTTGTAGTAATATCACTCACATAAAATAAAGAAAATGAAGGAAAATATGAATATAAAAACTATCATAAAATTAAAAGATCCTAGTGAAACGAATGAACCTGGTGCATCTTCTACCCATGAATTAATCTTTTTTTACAATTTTGTGAGCACTGTCACCACAATTTGCTATTTATAGTTGGATTCTTTCTTTTTTAACAAATTTGCGACAACACTAAATCTGTGCTCCCTAAATTTGATGAAGTGATACATTTTCTGTATGTCCTTTTATGTCTTTCCCGATAATTTATTCTTATTAAATGACCCTCAAATGCACCTGAGGCTTTTACGATGCACACACGAACACATCCTGGAGTGGTAGCTGTGTTGGTTCAATTTTACTTCTCCAGTATAATTGAAGATGTTCCGCGCTACTGATTAATGTATCTATTCCTGAGTAGATATTCTTTGTTGAACATCGGTGGTCCTCGTGTTCCACTGATGTATACCAAGGAATAAAAGCGTGAATCGCCAACAAGTTTTCATGTTGCTAAAACAACAAGGCCACCAGCCGATTTGAACCTGAATCGTCCTACTTGCTAGCAGTGACCGTAACCACTGAGCCACGAATCAGTAAACTGCGATTGCTTTCGGTTAGACTTTGCTTAGCGGATTTCGAGTTCGACTTGCCAAGCGTGTGTTTTCGATGGACTGCACCTGACCACTACAGCCAAAGATTAAAAATGAAACCTCTAAAATTTTATTTTAATAAAATAATAAAAAAAAATAACTTCGAAAATCACATGAATTCTTTTTTTTTTGTTGTTGTTGTTGAATGTTATTTAAAAAATAAGACACAATAATTTTATGGTATATTGGTTTTATGGTATAAGTTTGTAGTTTAAATTTTTGTTTCCCTCACTTATGTTAAATTTAAACATATACTTAGATTTCAAAACTTACCAAGAAAAGAAACATATGAATGGAACGAGTAATACTCGAATCTCTCAACAGACAACCGTAAAAAGAATCGAACAGAACTCAAATGTTCCTTAGACACAACCGTAAAAGAACTGAAGAAGTGGTTCTCTACATCTCAAAGTAAATCCCCCAATAGTTTTCTGTTGTTGTTTCTTATCCCACTTGGCTGGCCAAGCCCACGAGCCCGTACGTACTCATGATTGAAGGGGAAGGAAGCAGCTTCTGTTGTGATGGAACACCCGTAGGTAGAAGCCTGACTTTTGCTCCGTGACGCTCTTACAGTCATAGGAGACCGGGACCTACGGCTTAAAGTGGATTCCGAACCACTACAAACATCCATGGCACCGCCGGGATTCGAACCCGAAACCTGTGGCACCGAGCGCCAGAGCGCTAGACACTCGGCCATTCAGGTCCCAAATTTGCCAACCCACCCAAGTACTGACCGCGCCCAATGATGCTTGACTTCGGTGATCTAACGAGAACCGGTATTTTCAGCATGGTACGGCCGTCTTAACCATAAAAGCAGAATGTGTCAGGTGAGCTGTTCTCAAGGAAACATTATTTCTTTCTAGAAGTTTCTTGAAACAACAGAAAATGAAATATATTAAACTAACTATAAAAACGCAGCTTTTGATATTAGAGGTAGTTTAAGAAGTAAATTTAAATGTTAAACGCATACGAATTTATAAATAACAATTGAAATAAAGAAAAATTAACTATTTTAAAAGTTAATGGAGTTAAAATTTATATTTTTATAATTTGTTCAAATATTCTTTAAGTGATTTGAAAGTTGAATCAAAGTTTAATGTAGAAATATTTTCCAAAATTATAAAATAGTTATATGAACTAAGAGCTTGTCAATATAAAATTAATTTTATAATTGATACCTTTTTTTCAGACACATTCTTTTGAATGCAATATAATAATATATAGAAAACATTTTTTTTCCTATCGTCAGAGAAAGGTTTAAAATTATATCTAAAATAAAAACTTAATTTCAAGATTATAACTGTGAAATAAAACTAATTATAGATACGATATTTGTGTAAATATTGTAATATAAGTCTTCATGATAATTGCTATTGTTTGACAGTTAATCATTTTATTTAACATAAAAGTAATATCAGAAATTAGAAAAAAATGAAGTAGAATTTTTGAAGAGTAGGGAAATTAATTAGAATAAGAAAATAACATTGATATATCTCTATATAATTAAATGAATTCTAATTCTCCATATTTTTATTAAAAATCGGTAAATTTTAATAATTTACAATGCTGAATATTTAGATATTTCACGAATTTCTAATAAACAATATTTTTCCAAAGTTTGTAAGCATAGTGAACACTCAAACCCCATTTTTATATCGATGTTTAATTTCATCTTTTACTGATATTTCATTGTTAGTTTTTGAAAAGGTATGATACACAGTAAAAATCTTCAAGAATTTCCTCTTTTCTCCAATTCATTGATAGAATTGTACAAAACAATTTCTTATATTTTTTAAAACATTGGGTTTGTTATCTTTTATTTGCTTTTTCACAAACAAAAATTAAATCATATGAAAAATAATATTGTAAAGTGAAAATACATGTAACAGCAGATAAATATAACTGAAATGTATTTATAAGCGGAATAAATTTACTAAAAGATGTTTGCATATCATCTTACGTGACTCAATTGAAAATCTGCCAAGCTAGATCAAATGACAAAGAACTCTAGTCCCAACGGTACCCTGGCATTACAATAAGCAGCATAACAAGATATTCAGATGCGATTATAACGTCTTACATTCGACATTTGAAAAGTAAGCATAGTGACAGTTAAATCAAAGTCAATTTTTTTCATACGACATTTGAATATGAAGTATTTTGTTCTTAAAGATTGCCCCTTTATGCGTCAAAATAGCAAAGGGGTATTGCCATGAGAAAAATTGTCAAAAATTATTTCAATTTATCAATTATTAAAAGTTAATTGAGATATCTGAAGATCGAAATATAACAGAGAAACTGCTTCCTAAAACTCAATTCCAACATTAAAATTTAAAATTAAAATTAATTAAATTAATCATTATATTTATAAATCTAATTTAAGTTGACATTAATTATAATCATTAAATTCCAAGATAACAGGGACAATTATAACAAAATTAAATCATTTTATTGAAAGTATACATAAAGTTTATTTTATTTCACTCTCACTGAATTAAAAAAAAAATATTAAAATGCATGAATTTATTTAAAAATATAATATATTCTACACGCGTAATTATAAATTGGATTTCTTTTTTAAGCATTATTAAAAATACTGTTCAAACACACTTATACAAATCTGTATATAATAAATTAATATAATTTATTCCAATAAATGGGATATATTGGTCATTAACAGTGAATAAATTAAAATTCAAGCTACAGCACTGAATAATTTGAAATTAAAGTTTTATTATCACAATTATTTTCTACTTAAAATTGCATTAACATTCCATTTTGTATAAGAAGCATTATAAAGAAAAACTTTTTTTGTTATTCAATAAGCATAATTATGCGATTTTCATTAATTTTCTGTGAAAAATTTCCTTTACGGCGGTAATAAAAAAATCCTAATTCAAGACTCATATAAAATAAAAACACTCTGAGATAAAATGAAAACTGCATCCCATCCACAACTACATGCATACTTGCACATCCCCTTCCACGCACTTAGTTAATAGTTTCCACAAAAAGATTCCGTACAGGTGTGGAAAACCACTCTAAAAATTTTTTTTCCTTCTTCCACTTTCACCACTTATTTTATTTTTAAAGTTTTATCTCTGGTAATAAAAATCTGGCTGGCAATGTCCTATCGACCGCTGGCCATATCGCCAACTTTTCAAGAGCGGGTGCAGTGGAAAGCACAATATATCCTAACTACCTCGACAAGCCCTGATGACGAGCCGAGAAGTCTGCTCTTTTAATGATGCTATGGCGTAGTCATTAGGTAGTCGCTAATGACTTTGCGCCGCACTGGCGACTAAAAGAGTAAACACTTTTTCTCCATTGCTGAGATCGCCAAGGGCTTATCAGGGCAGCGCGTGTTAAGAAAAATTCGGTGTCCCAGGCATAAGGTGGAAATTTTGATAGCCATCATCTAGTGATGTAAATAAGCAATTTATATCACAGAACCAACTTCCATAATTATCTCCATTAGAGCGATAAAATGTTTTTGGTTATATAATTTCGGGTTAATTTTCGGATTGAAAGTGTGCAGATTCATGAATTTGCGTAGAATGTTTCTTAAGGATGAATTAATATAGTTTGGGAACTAATAAACTTCTCACTTGATGGGAAGATATATTTACGTACGTGCATCACACTGCTTTTATTTATGAAAATTATAATTTAATTTTTGATATCACTTTTGGGCATTAATTATAAATTTATTTGAAGAAGTAAAAGTTGTACGAGAGATAAAACATTTTTTTTTATTTATGTAATTTCAGAGTAAGTATCTTGTAAATTGTTTGCTGATGCAATACTAATTACTGATTACTGATTGTTTAATGATGTATAATTGTTTTTAAAATATTTCTTAAAGCAGAGATAATCATACGCGATGAAGTTTCATAAGATGATCTGGAATTTCTAATTTAGATAGTGCTTCTGGCCAGGAAAGGAAAAAAAATTAAAAATGCCTTCTTGACTCCATCTATAAAATGCTGGTATCATGTTAAATTATTATAAATAATTGCAACTTAACATAGCAACACAATATGTTAACAGTTATAATTACAAATTAATATCAGAATTTTTTAAAATGCTCATATTGCACAATGACATTAAGAGAATTTTAAAATGTCATTAAAAAATTCGTATTTTATTTCAGGTTAATCGTTTTATTAACAAATCAAAATTTATCAATCATAATTCTTAGCTAAAAACTGTGGTAGAATCGGAAGAATTAGTTAAAAATTGAATGTTCTGATAAAAATATGCATAAATGCATCACATTTATCACATTTTACAATAAAATTATATATCTCATTTTTAAATTGAAGAAAGAAGATAAATAATAATATATCGTTATCACATTTCATAGATTATATTATGAAACTAAGAAAACAATAAAATTCCATTATAGCTTTTATTTTTAATATATATATATTTGCATCGACTTAATGTGGATTTTTATATTTATTTATTCTATTGAAAAAATGCTGATCGAAGTATTTGAAGTTCCGAAATTCCCTTCATGATTAATACTTTTATATAAGCTAAATATATGCCTCTTTATCTCTGGCCCTTTGATTAATTTTTAATCGAGCGTGCAGGTCTGGAGGTCAATCTATATCACGCACCATCTAGCATATCATCAATAGCCCCTTATCCAGATACACTGAGATGAGTGTCTATTACTCTGGATGTTCTCCCATATCGCCATGCTAAATCATAGGCAAGTAATTGCTGGCCTATTATACTATCATCTCTTCTGTAACAAGTTGTCGGCAATTTAACTCCAGCGTCCTGAGAGACCTTCCATTCTGATAGAGATTTAATACAAATATCAACGAACATTAAACATTACTCAGCGTTCTTTAACTACAATTCAACGAACTCGCCTGTAACATGTCTGCTGGATATAGATAGGAGGGAGTTTAATATTCAGGTTCTGACTTCGCGTTAAGCCATTGGAGGAAAAGGTCTAATAAATCCCAACGATGAACTACTCGAATAAATTACGCTGTCGTAAGCTTTCATATCTGAGGGGGTCTATTCTCGGTTTCTGTAATTGTTAAGAATGGGTTTTCTTGAAGAGGTTTCCAGGCACGAGATTGTAGGGAGGTGGGGAAAAGGAAACACACCCCTCATACATCCGGATGCGAACGTGGTTTGAGTGCTCGCCAATCTTTACTGAAAATTTGATCAGAATAATTTCACTGAGAGAGACGTAAACAGAGACTGTTTAGAGTGTTGTGAATGCTCTGCTTTGTAAATGTTTAATAAACGTAAAGGAAAATGCATCCGCAAATGTTTGTTAAGATATCCAAATATATTATTAATTTAAAATTATAAAAAAAATTCTGAAAATGTTTTCATGAAAAATTTTGACACAACTTAACTGTGTTTATTACATAATTTCCAGGGTAAACATAATAATTGTCAATATTGTAATTATTTGATAATATCAAATTTTTATGACCTGTGCTTATTTTCCTGTACGATGGAGATATGTAGCGATTTTACCAACCATGGAGGAATTTGTTAGTCTATTCCTAGTTTTTTCAGTTTTTCTAGTCCCGATGTGGAATAAACACACTAAGGAATTTGCACCTTTCTTTTATCCCAAAGGGGAATTTTCAGTTCTACAGATTTATTCTGCCTCCAGTGCTGTATAAAAACTAAAGATCTGGTTTTGGTGTCAGTTTTTCAAATTGCTATTACTTTTCAATGTCAAGCCTTGTTAATCTGAGCTCATTTTCCAGTACGATGGAGATATGTAACAATTTTACCAACAGTGGAAGAATTTGTTAGTC